TAGGTAAAAATGGTTAAATACAAAAAGCACTCTTTCTCCTGAGGTATGCACCTGATTTGGCCTCCGGGTGATTGATCAGATGGTTTTAAGTGTGGCCGATGCGATGCGCGCAACGGGACAAGCCTCCAAGTTAGCCGTTAGATGGGAACATCATCGCCATGCTTCCGGGCAGAGATGTCCGAAATTACACCGAGTGTCCGAAATTACCCCGTTTCACGGTACTTAAAAGGACTCTCAAAGAAGTTGCCTCTCCACTATATTTTTGGCTGAGCGATAGCGAAGCCTGTTACTCCAGTGGGGTTGAAAAGTTTTTCATGTCTGTCTGTCTGTCTGTCTGTCTGTCTGTCTTTGTGCACTACTCCTCCTGAACGGCTTAGCCGATCTCGGTGAGATTTTGCACACTTCTTGGGTATGTCCTTGGCTCGGCACACGCGAAATTTCACCATCCTAGCTCTACTGGTTCAGTTTTTATAGCCGAAAAACACCTAAAAAACGGCGAAAAATAGAGCTTTCTGCAGAAAGATCACTTCCGGCTTGGAGAAAGGGGGGTCTGGGGGGCGGAGCCCCCCAGCCTCGACAAGTTAAAAAGTTACAAGGGTCAAGATCGTGTTATCTGTAGATAAAACGACTCTATTTAGAATGTAGGGGGGTCTGGGGGGCGGAGCCCCCCATTCAACAAGCTAAAAAACAACCGACAACGGGCAAGCCATTGCCTGCCGCAGGCAGGCTAGCGCCGCAGGCCAAGGTAGGTACGCCAGGCGTGGATTGGAGGAACAGGCAGCGAGACATCGCGAAGCCTGTTACGACAAGACGCGGTCTGGCGTAAACCTACCTTGTATTATGAAGAATTATTTTTTGTTTGCAGTTTTTCAAATTTAACCAAAAAATGGAACTTGTTTTAACTTAGTCTCTTTAGAAGTCAGGGGTGGAATGGCGGCAAACTAAACTTCTCTTACGCCCGACCACGCCAGAATCTTGTACCATACCCCAAGAAAACCAAGCAGACGAAATCGCGCAGTCACACCGTCACTTCTCATCACCTTGGCTCCTATGGTGAGCTATGGCCGGCAAATACACTATGCATTATTCGCAGTAGCTCTGTTTCCGGAGACGTGCCATTCAAGTGAAAGTGAGAACACGGTTATTATCCAAGAATGCTGATAGACATTGTTATCGCTGAGCAATCATGGTAATTATTAGGTAATCATGGTAATCGCTTGGTAATCGTGGTAATCTTTTGGTGAGCGATTCTCACGTTTCGGGGTAGTTTTGGCGTCTCTGATTTGCCGAAAGTGAGAAATATCGAATCAAGTTTTTCTGATTATTGGGGTCCTGGATGATACTAGAGTTATGGCAATGGTATTTATAGTAAAGACCTTGTACCCTACCTTCCTAAAAACATGAGCCCTAAGGTATTCCCATACGTTTTAGTGGGTGTTTTGATCACGGAAATTACGTTATCACGGAAGTTACAAAGTGTGAAAATCGGCTTTAACGGCTGACTCGGGCTTGATGTGGCTTAAAAGTCGTTCCAGGGTCAAATGATACTCTAAGCCCGACACTTAAGCGGAAAATTTTTTCACCTAGTGACCTATTACAGGAGAGTAAAGTATGGACCTTTACCTTCAAAATGATATACATGAAAGCCGAACCTCAGCAACGGTAAGGGAAATACAGGCACCTAACTGAAGCTCTGCACGTGTCCGGAATTACCCCAGGCTGGGGTAATTCCGGACGACCTATGGGGCAATTCCGCACGACCTTATGATTTGACACGACTCGAGCTTACTTTCGCTTGTTTTGATGTGAGGCATGCTTTTAGAAGGCGTACAAGGACATTTGCTGCGAACTAAAGTGCTTGATTAGTACTCAAAGCATATTATAAGGAATAGTTTCTATCAAAACCCCTAAATTGACAACAATTTCTTGAGAAAAGCTTTTAAACATAGGTGCAATGCTACTTTTCGTTCGTTCTTCATCCTTCTTAACGGTGGGGATGCATGTCCACAATTTTGAACCCACTACCTTAACATTATGCGGGAAATTGAAGAAAATAACCCTTCTTGTCCGGATTTACCCCACAGGTAGTGAAAACCTTTGATCTTCAATTGTTGGCTGAGCGATAGCGAAGCCTGTTATTCCAGTGGGGTTGAAAAGTTTTGTCTGTCTGTCTGTCTGTCGGTCTGTCGGTCTGTCTGTCCGCACTACTCCTCCTGAACGGTCGGGCGATCTCGGTGAGATTTTGCACACTTTTTGGGTATGTCCTTGGCTCGGCACACGCGAAATTTCACCATCCTAGCTCAACTGGTTCATTTTTATAGGCAAAAAAACACCTAAAAAACGGCGAAAAATAGAGTTTTCTGCAGATAGACCACTTCTGTCTTGGAGAAAGGGGGGTCTGGGGGGCGGAGCCCCCCAGCACTCAACAAGTTAAAAAATAACCGACAACGGACAAGCCATTGCCTGCCGCAGGCAGGCTAGCGCCGCAGGCCAAGGTAGGTACGCCAGGCGTGGATTGGAGGAACAGGCAGCGAGACATCGCGAAGCCTGTTACGACAAGACGCGGTCTGGCGTAAACCTACCTTGTAAGAAAACGGCGAGCCATACGAGCACTCCCGGAACGTCAAAGTAAAGTCCAAAGACCATATAATATGATTTAAAAATTTTTAAACATGGGCTGAACTTTACGGTAAGGTACGATAAGTACATGGATATACGAGGTAAAGATGCAGCTTTTGCCTATTTTTGATGGTATTCAAATTTCATGAAGCGACTACAGCCAAACGGTTTGGCCTCCTACCTTGGCGATTTGGAATTATCATTTTTAACTGATTATCTTCCTCTGTTAGGCGGGCCCCGACGGGCATGATTTCAAGAAATTACGTTGTCACAACGTGTTTTACGTTGGCCTTCGTTACGGGCCGTTTTCGTTGTCTGGCGTCGTAGAGTCTATGTCACTTGTGGTGCTTGTAGAAAGCCAACCGTTCTACAAGGACTATCCTTTTAGGTAGAGGTTCAGTCTTCGGAGCTGCGTGGCTCCGTCAACGACTTAGCATCAACGTTGCGGCGGTTGCCCTCGATTGGTTGCCTCAGCGCCGCCTCGCTACGTCATATCAACGTGACAGCCACGCCCTTTAAAAAAAAGGGCATGTCACGCCCGGGGAACTACGATAAGCCAACCATATTCCCGTAGTTGCACCAACGTAGCCGCGCTTCGTCGAATCGACGTCGCGCTGACACGTAAGTGCACGTCAAAATAAAAGGCGATTTCAGCAGTGACAAGCCACGTTGGGGTAACCACATGCTCGTAGTAGCACCAACGCAACCGCGCCACGTCGAATCGATGTCGCGGTGACACGTACGTCCACGTCGAAATAAATAGCGATCCAGCAGTGACATGCAAAGTTCAGCCAACCGTCCTGGGCCGGTTTCCTCTACGTGCTTTTCTACGTGGCCACGAGGTACCATAGCAACCGTGGAATGCAAGTACGGGCCCACCTCGGCCGGCATCGTAGCGTCAACCGTCCTCCGCCCGTTGCCTCTACGTTGCTTTGCTACGTTGCTGCAATGTCACCAGGCACCCTGATGGCAACCGCTAAAG